AAATATTTCTATTCACATATCATTTAAAAAATAAATGAACAGTGATTAATAGTTCTCTATGAGTGTATTGTATCACACTCAGCATTTTCAGGTTATATTTAGAGTTTATTCACAACTTGTTAGCTTACCCAGTTTCAATTTGGGTGGGATATATAGCACCCAAACACATTGCATCCCATAATTTGGACATTTCTCAAAACTCCTTCAATGGCTAGGCTCATGTTTTATTTTAAATCTCATAAAATGTAAATGGTGTATGCATCCCCTGTTCATTTAAGTAACTTCTAGAAGCACAAATAAAATACAAATTATAGCCAAATAATAAAAAGATGTCTCTTCTCTCTTTCATTGGATTCACATGACTTCCATATTTGCTAATAGGAGTTAAGCACTTGTTCTGCAAAGAAAATAGACCCCTGTCTGAGAAAATAAATATGTATAGTGTATTTTCCAGATACAATGCTGAAAGCAAATAACCACAAACGTGTGCTGTATAAACACAGCATCATGTGGTATAACTAAACACATGGTTGGTTAATATTTTACCTCCTGAGTCATAGGCCCAGAGATATTACTAATGCCTTTGCCATTTAAATACAGCAAAAAGAAAAGGGGGGGTGTGAACAAACTCAGATGATTTCAGTAAGCTCGTACGCAATCTTCTGTTTATCCCTCAGAAGTTCATCAGAAATTGCATCAGTAAATCTGGAGTCATGCTACTGCTCTGTTATCATCTAAGTCTTAGAGGATCATTGGATACAGCAGAGAAGTACATGATCATGGGGCACAGTGCGGGGCTCCCGCAGCAGCTGCAGCCTCCGTTGAGACAGGAGATGAGGCAGACAATTAGTGGCTGGTGACCTCTGAAGTGCCCTTCTTATGCAGGGCCCAGTCTCACAGGAAGGCAAGTCCACTTGGACTTGAGAGGAGAGAACTCCATGGTGGCCAGAGCTGTCCCTAATCGGGGAGTCCTTGACAATTGTATGGGCTGAGAGAGGCTGTCCTACCCCATTCCATCTGATGAGGCAGGCATCATAGATATCTTTCCAAAAGTCATATTACACTTCCAGTTAAAATTATGATGTGATCAAAATGAGGTGGTGAAATAAATTAGAAATTCTCATTTATCCAAAGCTCTACATTTATACACTCAAATACATATATAATACAGAAGCACAGAATCACAACTTCTCTCATTTCAATTTTTAAATAGTTTTGAAAAATGGGTAATAAGATCCTATATTATGTACTGCATTAAACCATGCTTCTAGAGATTTTTCCTTTTCGTTGTTGTTGTTGTTGTTGTTGCTGCTGTTGCTGTTGCTGTACTGGACATTAAACTCAGGGCCTTGCGCTTGTGCTTGTGACACAGGAGAGGTGCCACTGAGCTAAATCCCTAGGGAGATTTCTCCTTCTTAATCATCTAGGTCAGAACCAAAATTTCTCATTTCTGATTTGCCTCGTGATCAGCATTGAGAGCAATACTATTGTGGACATAAATAACTACACAATCTCCCAGGTCCAGGATAAAATGAAACTTGAAGCCCCTGGTTGAAAAAAATTTCAATTGCAAGACAATGAGAGCAGAGCGACAAATCAAAGGCTGGAGCTTCCTAGAGCACAGGGCAGCACCCAACTGCACAGGTCCCAGGCCCACAAGGCCAGCTTCACTTGTGTAAGGAGACTTTGGCCAAAGACAGCTGCTGCCCTCTCTTTTCTTCCGAGCCCAACAGAGTTCTCAGGAACATCAGCAATGGGAAACGAACGTAAGCTGTTTTCCCACAGGCAGACATCTATGTAATACACTGAAGTTTCTAGAAAAGTAGAACAACAACAGGGGCTCTGAAAACTACTATTTGTTTTCTTATACTGATTGCATTATGAGGTTTATCTACAAGTGTTTCATCCTCTTTCTAGAGGGTTCCACAAAGCATGGCTTTTTATTCAAGGACCAGCATGACCCTGGCAAGAAATTCAATTTTAATGGGGATCAGAGGACCAATTTTGAATACTGATAATGGCAGCACAGCCAACCAACAATTTGGTCCTCAATGCCATATTCTTTTCTTTCTCCCTACATATTTTTTTTCCTTGTTAAATTGCTTCCTGCTCAAATCCCTTTCCTCTCATCAGTCATGTACCAGCCTTAGATCTGACCTTTAATTCTCAATGCAGTGGCAAAGGCACTCCATTTGACTCTCTGCTGTTTAGTTGTTTGGGAAGGCTGGCAAGGCACTGTTCATAGGGCACACTTTTCTTCTAAGTACAGTTATGCACCATCAGTTCTAGGCTGGTGAATGGAGGAATAGTAATTACAGTAATAGCAGCATTTGCTCATGAAGGGATCTATCGTCTCTCAGAACTGGACTTCTGCTAAGCTTCTGCTGCAAGGAAGTCACCTTTCCCTTCAGTATGTGATGCTGTGACATTCATGATCTTGAGAGCTTTACAGTAAGGCAAAAAAAGAGAGAAGGGAGCAAGGAGAAGCAGAAATGCTTCTCTTCACCTCAAAGTAAATCTAAGATCTTGACAAAAATTCTTCAGAAAAAACTATAGTTAGGACAAGATGATTTTTTTTTTTAAGTCTGACACTTTCTAAGCTATGCATTGCTTTGTGCATGACTAAACAATACAGAAAGAATTCTTCAAGTGTATAAGCCTATTCTGGTTTTTGGTCATTCAGAGAAGGGTTAGAAGATTGTAATATTACCTATGTGCAATAAAATAGTATATTCTTTTTTTCTGGCAGTGAACTTGTAAGGATACACAACTCTACAAATTGTTTGGCCTATTATATGTCACTGAGATTTTTCTATAGCCTGTCTAGACTCCAGACAATAGGCGAGACTGGCCTATAGTCCCAGACATTTCTATAGTCTGTAATATCACTTAGAAAAGCAAGGGCAATAATACAAAAATGAAAACCAGCCCAACCTGCCAGTATGAAAGTAGAAATATGAGTATAGCAACATTTTACAATTCAGAAATGATGATAGTACCCTAAAAAGAAATTTTAGCAGCCACATATCAGCTAGAACAACTTTTATAAAAATCCTGTATACTTTTAAAGTATGAGTCATATTCAAGTAGTTCTCTCCAGGAGCTACAAACTCACTATATTGCAAAAAATTCTGTATCTATGCTATGCTATGTTTTCTTAAGGATTGTAGATGTTTTGCATATGCATCTGTATACATATCTATATGTGTATGTGCCTATATAATATTTAAGTCAACATAAAGATTTTTTAAATGCCTTTGTAAAAATAAAAAAGATTGTTAAACCATTCTCTTTTTTAGTCCTCTTTAGATAAACAAATAAACATAAAACAATTAATTCTGCTTGGACTCATATAGAAGGATTAAGGGATATTATCTATATGCAGGGGAAGTAAAAAGAAGAGCTTTTAAATTTTATCTATTTTCTGCCATTTCATCTCTGAGTATGTCTCCACATTTTTCTCCCACAGTTGCAATTGTTATCAACAAAACAGAGAAATAAGAAAGAAAAAAGTAAGCAAGAAAGCTTATTTTTATATTATCCTTTGGACTCTTTTTTATCTTGTAGGAAACAACTCAATAAAGTTTTTTTTTTGTCATCAATGTTTTGTATTATTTTGATGAAGGCCATGAAAAAAATATATTAAATATGACGAATGCTCACTGAAGAAAATATTGCTTAACACTATTGGTGATATTTCCAACTCACAAAGCATTCTTTTTCCCCAGTACATCAGACAACATCAATAATTACAAGTGTATCTTCACCATTAGGAGCCAATACTAAGAGCCTTTGTCACAGTTGGCATGACTCAGTTTGTGGCATTTGGAAGAGTCCAAGTGGGGGGCATTCGGAGATTTAGGGAAAAATCAAGAGATTCTTCTAGTTGTTGAAGTTGTGCATCACAGAATAGAAAACTCATTTTTAAAGTCATTTAAATGACTGTTTCCATATGAATTTTAAAAAGGAACATCTAGTTAGTTTCAACAAAATCAACTGTACCCATATGTGATCAAAAGTTCCACTGTAGAGGCAACTATTTGGAATTGTCAAATTTACAGGATGTTGGTTGATAAGACCATAAAGAACTCTTCTCAGTATAAGCAGCCAACCTTGTCTACCAGGTATTCACAGATACTTTCTAGGCTTGGAATATTATGCACACAAATGTGGTATATTTTTCCACTGGAATGCAAATATTAGATTCAAATGTTGCCAAAGAAGTTTCACCCAACTCTTCTCTCTTGCTTTGTTTGAAAGTTCAATATTTCCTTTGCATTTAAGGAAAAAATTCTTTAGCCTCACCAGAAATGATGGTTTTTGACAATAACTTTTCAGAGAGTAAAAAATTAACACATTAAGTCTAAGTACAACTGATTGGTGATGTAACATGAAATATAGTGTACAAATTCAAAGAGATTTTTCTGAAATAAAATATGTAGGTTTTGTCCTTTGATATGAATCATGATATTCAGAATACTTTACATATATGTAATAAAACGTACCAGAAAGATACATGTTATATAACTGTGAATGCCGTAAAAACAGTACAAAATTCTGATTAACATCAGCCTTAATTGTTTACTCTTTTAAAAAGAAAGAAATGATATACATTAATTAAACACACTGACTAAAACCCAACTTTTCAAAGAGAACAGTAAATTCCAAGTTCGATGTTAACATGATGCACGTGGTAAACTTTTATTATTGTGAAATTGGTAAGCACCAACCAGGCTTCATCACAGGAAGCTGGGAATTCTACACCTTCTAAAAGGAGCTCGGATCATTAACTAAAGTGTCCTGTGCACAGAGGCAGAGACCAAATGAGGCCCCAAGGAGGGCTTACCAAACTCCCACTAAAGTCAATGGAAATTTGCAAACGCACGTGAGAGGGTTCTTGCCACCCAGAAGGTCTGTCAATAATTCCATTGGATCCTTAAAGCAGATACACAAGTTAAAAAAAAAAAAACTCAAAGAATAAAAAACAAACAAACATGTACCTCTCCCACATCATAGATCCAAATACGGCCTTCTGAGTCCCCAACAGCGACTTCCTTGCCAGCTTGAGCCCAACGAACGCGGTTTAAGGCAGATGCCCCTTCGATGGCCACACTTGCTGTTGGAACCTGCCCAAGAGATTATGACACAAATAAGAATCTCTGAAAATGAATTTAAATATATGAGCTCACACTGATACATTTAACTACATGAGTCACCACTGCCTTCACGTGCATGAAGTAATATACATCCCTGGAGCAGGGGCAAAAAAGATCCATTGTTCTAAAATCATATGCTCCACTGAATTAAAGGGTACAGAGGAGAGACATTTTAACGAAAAGGAAAAGAAGGGAGGTCTTTTTCCACAGTCAACAGGCAGGCAGTGGCATAAATATTTCTTTGGATTACACGGGGGTACATGTAGCCTACAGAAAGCAGCTAGATGTGAAGCTGCACCGTGGGTCATAAGGTGCAGACTGATGAGGGAAGAGATTTCAGGATTTACCAAGATTAAGGATCAATAGAAGGCAAGAGTGGGGTGTATAGTAAAATGAAAGTCACATTAATATGACTCTTCAAGGAAAAAGTAAACATATCAAACTCCCAAAGCCTCATGAAGGAGAGAATGATCAGAAAGAAAGAAACAATGCAGCTAAAAAATTGGACTCCAAATTCTCCCCTCTCTCTGCCTTTCTCCCTCCCCAACCCTTTCCTTTCTTTCTGCTTTGTTTACCTCCTCCTGGCAGTTCCAAGGTATGGGAAGTAGTCATAACTTGGGCACTTTGGCTGTGTCACTTGGTGATACCCTGTTAGAATGTAGTCACCTATTTGTATAACACAGCTCTAGCTCCTCGAATGAACACTGGAGATCTGAAAACACTGGTATTTATAATAATCGTTATTAGGATTAGACAGCTGAAGATGCTGAAATGGAAACTGTACTTTTTTTTTTTTTAAATCAAGAAGTTAGGGTTTGGAGAAAAGATTTTTAGTGAGTCTACTCCTTTTCTATGGCTACTTGCTTAAATTCTTGTTTTCAGGATTGGAAATTTATTAATGACATAGAGATCAGATCTCCCGAGCCTTCTGCAAGAGTGTTCAATAGGAAATATGTCATTAAGAAAAAAAATGGTAAATATTTTTTTAAAAGGGGGGAAATGGTGAAAACAGAGAAATTGAGAACATCTCCCATCACTGTTTGGGACCTGTGCCTAATAAAAGTGTCACACTAGAGGGAAACGTGACATGTACTGTAACTTAGCACCCACAGCATTTTGTTATTTAGGGAATTGAAACCATCTGTTTACATGAAATTATTGACCCAATACCTATCTTGAAAATAGCAATAAAAACTCCATCATATGTCAGAATCTATGTTTTAACTTAATCTTGAAACCAATAAAAATTCTTTCACCTGCTTAAATCACTGCCTATCAATTGTAAGCAAAAATGTGAAACCAAAGTCCCAGCTCATTATTTTTTAAAATATACAATTTGTACAATAGAAGTACCTGCTGTGCAGCCTGGAGTCTGAATTTTTAACCAAATCTTGCAAAGGCTGAAACAGTGTGAATATAGATGGATCAGAATTCTATCAATACACTTTATTATTAGTGCTTTGGAGAGAAAACAAATCTGTGATTCAGCTGTAGAATTTTCAGAGTTCATTTTTAACACTATACTTTGGAAGATGCATACAGGATTCTTATCTAAAATAACTCAATATCAGATTTTTCTTGAATAATCTCAAAAATTGATGTAAAATATTCAATCTTCATATGAATATACAAAAATTACTCAAAATAGACCTTTTGATATATTTAAAGTGATGTCTATTAAAATTTTAAAGATTTTATTTATTTGGAATGCAAGGAATAGAGTAATTGAAATAGTATTTTAAACATAGAAAATAGTCTCTTACTATAGTTAAAAAACACTATCATAATCTATAGTTTTCCCAAAAATGTAATGAATTCATGAAGAAAGTGACAAAATATATTTGTATTACTCTGATCAATAATGACTTTCAAATTTTTATTTTGAATAAAAAATTCATTTATTCTGTCTTAATTTAATACTTTTGTTTCACAAATATTTTCATGGCTCAGTCACTTTAATTACAAATACAAGACCAATTACAAATATATATCAGAAATCACTGAGCAGTAAAGATCAGCAATACTGAGGTAGGTAGGTACAGACTATCCTTGCAAAAGAGCACCTAGGATAATTTTGTCTAAAACTGTAGTAATGTGAACAACAAGATAGACTGCTGTAGTTAGAATTCAAGTTCTTTTTTCTTTTTCTTAACAAATCTATTCCCTAATCTGACATACATTTGAAAAATCTTGTTCAACTTGCTGGAAGGCAAAGATGATTTGAGGGTTTAAAAAAGTGTTAAGTGCATTACTAGATTTTTGTCAGACTCAATATATCTCAACTATTATTGTGAAAACAGAATTATATTTATCACAAAACTAAATGGTTTGTAAAACCAATAATTTTCTTTTAATGTTTAGCTATAAAACTTATGTGCTTGTCCCTTGATACCTAGGGTAAGAGAAGGGGAAAAGTTACATTAGGATATTACTTTACTTTTCCCTAAAAAACAGATTAAACAAAGAAAAGTTGCATAGGAATTATTAAAGGGTTCACAGGACACTCAGTACTTTCACTGCCTGGTAGCTAGGTGTCACGTAAAGATCATGTCCACTTGGCTTGATTTCTGATATCGCAGTCTCTCAGGTCAATCTGGAAAGCACTATGTGTGGGTTTTTCTTTTCTTTCTTTCTTTCTTTCTTTCTTTCTTTTCTTTCTTTCTTTTTTTTTTTTTTTTTGTTTTTTT